TATAATCTAGTCTATAGTCTAGTCTATAGTCTAGTCTATAGTCTAGTCTATCATCTAGTCTATAGTTAGTCTATATAGTTAGTTATAGGTCTAGTCTATAGTCAGTTCTATAGTCTAGTCTATTAGTCTAGTCTCTAGGAGTCTAGTCTAGTTGTCTGTCTAGTCTAGTCTAGTTAGTCTAGTCTAAGTCTTAGTTCTAGTCTATAGTCTAGTCTATAGTCTAGTCTATAGTCTAGTCTATAGTCTAGTCTATAGTCTAGTCTATAGTCTAGTCTATAGTCTAGTCTATAGTCTAGTCTATAGTCTAGTCTATAGTCTAGTCTATAGTCTAGTCTATAGTCTAGTCTATAGTCTAGTCTATAGTCTAGTCTATAGTCTAGTCTATAGTCTAGTCTATAGTCTAGTCTATAGTCTAGTCTATAGTCTAGTCTATAGTCTAGTCTATAGTCTAGTCTATAGTCTAGTCTATAGTCTAGTCTATAGTCTAGTCTATAGTCTAGTCTATAGTCTAGTCTATAGTCTAGTCTATAGTCTAGTCTATAGTCTAGTCTATAGTCTAGTCTATAGTCTAGTCTATAGTCTAGTCTATAGTCTAGTCTATAGTCTAGTCTATAGTCTAGTCTATAGTCTAGTCTATAGTCTAGTCTATAGTCTAGTCTATAGTCTAGTCTATAGTCTAGTCTATAGTCTAGTCTATAGTCTAGTCTAGTCTATAGTCTAGTCTATAGTCTAGTCTATAGTCTAGTCTATAGTCTAGTCTATAGTCTAGTCTATAGTCTAGTCTATAGTCTAGTCTATAGTCTAGTCTATAGTCTAGTCTATAGTCTAGTCTATAGTCTAGTCTATAGTCTAGTCTATAGTCTAGTCTATAGTCTAGTCTATAGTCTAGTCTATAGTCTAGTCTATAGTCTAGTCTATAGTCTAGTCTATAGTCTAGTCTATAGTCTAGTCTATAGTCTAGTCTATAGTCTAGTCTATAGTCTAGTCTATAGTCTAGTCTATAGTCTAGTCTATAGTCTAGTCTATAGTCTAGTCTATAGTCTAGTCTATAGTCTAGTCTATAGTCTAGTCTATAGTCTAGTCTATAGTCTAGTCTATAGTCTAGTCTATAGTCTAGTCTATAGTCTAGTCTATAGTCTAGTCTATAGTCTAGTCTATAGTCTAGTCTATAGTCTAGTCTATAGTCTAGTCTATAGTCTAGTCTATAGTCTAGTCTAGTAGTCTATAGTCTAGTCTATAGTCTAGTCTATAGTCTAGTCTATAGTCTAGTCTATAGTCTAGTCTACAGTACTAGTCTAGTCTATAGTTAGTCTATAGTCTAGTCTATAGTCTAGTCGTACAGTCTAGTCTACAGTCTAGTCTATAGTCTAGTCTATAGTCTAGTCTATAGTCTAGTCTATAGTCTAGTCTATAGTCTAGTCTACAGTTAGTCTATAGTCTAGTCTACTAGTCTAGTCTATAGTCTAGTCTATAGTCTAGTCTATAGTCTAGTCTATAGTCTAGTCTATAGTCTAGTCTATAGTCTAGTCTATAGTCTAGTCTATAGTCTAGTCTATAGTCTAGTCTATAGTCTAGTCTATAGTCTGGTCTATAGTCTAGTCTATAGTCTAGTCTATAGTCTAGTCTATAGTCTAGTCTATAGTCTAGTCTATAGTTAGTCTATAGTTAGTCTATAGTCTAGTCTATAGTCTAGTCTATAGTCTAGTCTATAGTCTAGTCTATAGTCTAGTCTATAGTCTAGTCTATAGTCTAGTCTATAGTCTAGTCTATAGTCTAGTCTATAGTCTCGTCTATAGTCTAGTCATAGTCTAGCTCTAGTCTAGTCTTATGGTCTAGTCTTCATAGTCTAGTCTATAGTCCAGTCTATAGTTCTAGTCTAAGGTCTAGTCTTATAGTATAGTCTATTGTCTAGTCTATAGTCTAGACTATATATATGTCTGTCAATACGTCTGGTTTATAGTCTAAGTCTATAGTCTTTTGAGCGGTCTATAGTCTAAGCTTATAGTCTAGTCTATAGTCTAGTCTATAGTCTAGCTATAGTCTAGTCTGTCTCGTCTATAGTCTAGTAGTCAATCGTCTAGTCTATAGGTCTAGAATCATAGTCTAGTCTATAGTCTAGTCTATCGTCTCGGTCTATAGTCTAGGTCTATAGTCTAGTCTATAGTCTCGTCTATAGTATAGTCTATTAGTCTAGTCTATAGTCTAGTCTATTGGTCTAGTCTTATAGTCTAAGTCTCATAGTCTAGTCTATAGATACTCTATGTCTAGTCTATAGTCTAGTCTATAGTCTAGTCTATAGTCTAGTCTATAGTCTAGTCTATAGTCTAGTCTATAGTCTAGTCTATAGTCTAGTCATAGTCTGTCTATAGTGTAGTCTATAGTCTAGTCTATAGTCTAGTCTATAGTCTAGTCTATAGTGTAGTCTATAGTCTAGTCTATGGTCTCGTCTATAGTCTCGTCTATAGTCTAGTCTATAGTCTAGTCTATAGTCTAGTCTATGGTCTAGTCTATAGTCTAGTCTATAGTCCAGTCTATAGTCTAGTCTAGTCTAGTCTATAGTATAGTCTATTGTCTAGTCTATAGTCTAGACTATATATATAGTCTAGTCTATAGTCTGGTTTATAGTCTAGTCTATAGTCTTTTGAGCGGATTCTGCAGAAGGATGGAAGTACTTAACAGTTTTGTAAAAACTTTTCCACTTTCCATTTCCCCAGTTGCAATCCTTCTTAAGTATGAAACTCCCCTCCACCATAAATTAAAATTTTTTAATAAAATTTAATTTTTGAAATGTATATATGTATGTGTGTCTATATTATTTTAAAATGTATCTGTTTTTCGTTGAACTTTTTTCTTGTTTGTGATAATGAACAAAAAAAAAAAAATAATGAAATGTTAAGCACTTGAGGCATTAATGCATAAAATACAACTAAACTAGTTTATATAGCAACATACATATACTAAGGATATAATACATATACATATATATGAATGTATACTCCTACCCATAGACAAACATACGCATACATATGTAAGTATATATAGAGAGGATATGAAATGCAAAAACACAGATACATATGGACAAACACATTTCCAAAACATTGAATCTCATCGATGTATGAATCTAAACGATGAATATTTGTTTGTATGTGAATTAAACAAATATTGTTGCACTTTATGATTTTTTTTTTTGAAAATTATTTTTTCTCACAACAATGCAATTTCAGCTAGAAAACTATAAATATATTTATCTCGATATGAATTTTGTTTAAGTGTTTGGAAAAAATAGTATGAGTAGGAAAAATATTCAATTTTTTGTATACATATGTATGTATGTTTATGTGTACATATCTCTCAGTATATTTTTTTAATTTTTTATAAAAGTTCTGTTTAGACATTTTGTTGAAAAATGTTGTTATTATTTTATATGTTATTTTTTTCATATTTAAATAAATTTTATTTAAAATGAAAAAGCAGAGTTTGTAATATCTTTAGCTTGTATGGTTTTCGGCTTTTTTTTCAAAAATGTTAAAATGCTGTACTAATGAATGAAGCTTAAATATATTAGTTTTTTTTTTTTAATTTTATGTTATACATATGTATTTACAAATAGTAGTTATTTTTTAGATAAATATTTTTTAACTATATATAAAATGTTTGAAAGTTTTTTTTTTATTTTTTTTATAAATTAAGGCATTTCTCTAACTAAATACACACATACACAGGCAGACACTGAAAGCATTCTAACGATTTTTTACAACAAATCACATGGTGTGTGTGAAGTTGCAAGTTTTTGATATGTAAACGAATAAATGTTCACTGCAAAGATGTTGGGTTGTTTTTCTTTTGTGGGGCTTGAAGTGTAAATTAATTATTAGGGATGTTCACTTTAGAGTCGTTTCACTTCACAACATTATATAAATTACTATGTTCTCACACATTGAAGATTTTTTGAATATTCGCGGAAAGAAAACAAACAATACCTTTTTCAATCTTACATTTACATCTTCTATTGATTTACAGATTTAGTACAGTTGAATAATGTATATCTTACGATCAAAATCTTTTCCACTTGATCAAATAATAGATTCAAAATAACTGTTTTCATGCTATTTTTTTGTATTACTCTGCACTACGTTATGATTTTGTAACTAGAACTAAAACTGAACTTGAACTGAACTTGAACTGAACTTGAACTGAACTTGAACTGAACTAGAACTGAACTAGAACTGAACTAGAACTGAACTAGAACTGAACTAGAACTGAACTAGAACTGAAATAGAACTGAACTAAAACTGAACTAGAACTGAACTGAGTACTATTTTTAATAAAAAATTATTATTTTGTTCTTAACAGCAAAAAGTACTAACTAACTAACTTTTCATTCTTAAGTGAACATCCTTAATATAAAGCTAAAATAAACAATCTAAAAAACTGCTTAAATATTTACACAAACGTTGTTTTAATGCTAACTACCCAAACAACTTTTTTGACTTTAAAATTAAATTATTCAAATTCTAAGTATTAAACTCATAAAAGAACATGCACTTTTAGAGATAACACTTTTACCGTCATTGGTCTTCATCATTTGCAGTGAAAATTTAAATATTTACATATTTCTTTTAGAATTTAGATTAAAGGTTACAAAATTTTCAATTGGTAAAAGGATGGATTATGTATATTTATGGTTAAAAATTAATGTAACATTTATTTTTTTAATTTTGTTATTTCTGAACTGTTTATGGTCAGGGGGCGTGGTAAGGGGGGGAAGAGATTTATGTTTGTGTATGTGTATTGGTATTAAAAACACAATTTCACATTTCACCACATAATCCTAGTAGTAGTAGTAGTAATAATAATAATAATTAAATATAAGAATAATAATGAATTTAACAACCAAGACGACGACCAATTAACAAAAATAAAAAATCAAATTATTAAATAATATATTAAATATATATTAATCTAACATCTGAAAGAAGAAAAATTTAATTAGCACTCACTCTCACCTGCACTTCCAAAGCATGATAAGCTATAATAAGACCTAAAAGAATCACAGTCGAAACCGATATTAATGTTTTAAGCGCTGTGGAATAAAAGGATGCCTGAAAAAAAGAGACAGAAAAAGGAAACAAAAGAAGAAATTATTAAACGAAAAATATAATAACCATAATAATAATAATATTGTATTTTTAATTTCTGTGTATTTCCTACCTTTGTATATACCCCAGCGCTGCTTAATTCATTCTCGATAACCATCACAACAATACCAAACATGCCCATGACTAGAGCGTAATCACTAATGCGCTTACGCTTTTCAAATAAAGCTTTACGTTTCCCTAGTCGATAACCGACATTGGGTTTGTGTTTAGCGGAGTTTGTTGAGGGCTTCCGGGATGTATTACCGCCAGTTAAAGCACGTTCCTCCATATACCTTTTGTTATGCAATTGAATAAAGAAATTGAAAAGAAAGAAGAAATACTTATGTTACAAAATCAATTCATTACACATTTAATTGCCTATTTCCACAAAATCGTAATAGCGTAGTTTTTAGTAGCATGGTTAGTCGTTTGGGGTTAGTTAATAGATTATTTTGTTTTAATAAAGGTTTCTGGGAATTTCTTTAACAACAATCCTGAGTGAAATATAAATCTCTTTTAATAAACTATCTGTCACGTTTATATTTCTTTAAGAAATTAAAGTGTACAATAATTATACGAGTATATTATCCCTACTGTAAAGAATCTGCAGCAACTTACTTTAACGTTTTCTATGAAATGTTACGAACTAGAACTAAACAGGAACTAAACTGGAACTGAACTAGAACTGAACTAGAACTGAACTAGAACTGAACTAGAACTGAACTAGAACTGAACTAGAACTGAACTAGAACTGAACTAGAACTGAACTAGAACTGAACTAGAACTGAACTAGAACTGAACTAGAACTGAACTAGAACCGAACTACAACTAAACTAGAACTGTACTAGAACAGATCTAGAACTGAACTAGAACTGAACTAGAACTGAGCTAGAACTGAACTAGAACAGAACTAGAACTGAACTAGAACTGAACTAGAACTGAACTAGAACTGAACTATAACTGAACTAGAACTGAACTAGAACTGAACTAGAACTGAACTAGAACTGAACTAGAACTGAACTAGAACTGAACTAGAACTGAACTAGAACTGAACTAGAACTGAACTAGAACGAACTAGAACTGAACTAGAACTGAACTAGAACTGAACTAGAACTGAACTAGAACTGAACTGGAACTAAACTAGAACTAAACTAGAACTAAACTAGAACTGAACTAGAACTGAACTAGAACTGAACTAGAACTGAACTAGAACTGAACTAGAACTGAACTAGAACTGAACTAGAACTGAACTGGAACTAAACTAGAACTAAACTAGAACTAAACTAGAACTGAACTAGAACTGAACTAGAACCGAACTACAACTAAACTAGAACTGTACTAGAACAGATCTAGAACTGAACTAGAACTGAACTAGAACTGAGCTAGAACTGAACTAGAACAGAACTAGAACTGAACTAGAACTGAACTATAACTGAACTAGAACTGAACTAGAACTGAACTAGAACTGAACTAGAACTGAACTAGAACTGAACTAGAACTGAACTAGAACTGAACTAGAACTGAACTAGAACTGAACTAGAACTGAACTAGAACTGAACTAGAACTGAACTCGAACTGAACTAGAACTGAACTAGAACTGAACTAGAACTGAACTGGAACTAAACTAGAACTAAACTAGAACTAAACTAGAACTGAACTAGAACTGAACTAGAACTGAACTAGAACTGAACTAGAACTGAACTAGAACTGAACTAGAACTGAACTAGAACTGAACTAGAACTGAACTAGAACTGAACTAGAACTGAACTAGAACTGAACTAGAACTGAACTAGAACTGAACTAGAACTGAACTAGAACTGAACTAGAACTGAACTAGAACTGAACTAGAACTGAACTAGAACTGAACTAGAACTGAACTAGAACTGAACTAGAACTGAACTAGAACTGAACTAGAACTGAACTAGAACTGAACTAGAACTGAACTAGAACTGAACTAGAACTGAACTAGAACTGAACTAGAACTGAACTAGAACTGAACTAGAACTGAACTAGAACTGAACTAGAACTGAACTAGAACTGAACTAGAACTGAACTAGAACTGAACTAGAACATGAACTAGAACTGAACTAGAACTGAACTAGAACTGAACTAGAACTGAACTAGAACTGAACTAGAACTAGAACTGAACTAGAACTGAACTAGAACTGAACTAGAACTGAACTAGAACTGAACTAGAACTGAACTAGAACTGAACTAGAACTGAACTAGAACTGAACTAGAACTGAACTAGAACTGAACTAGAACTGAACTAGAACTGAACTAGAACTGAACTAGAACTGAACTAGAACTGAACTAGAACTGAACTAGAACTGAACTAGAACTGAACTAGAACTGAACTAGAACTGAACTAGAACTGATCCAGAACTGAACTAGAACTAAACTAGAACTGAACTAGAACTGAACTAGAACTGAACTATATCTCAACAAGAACTGAACTAGAAATGGATTAGAACTGAACTGTTGACGACTCCTAATTTACATTCCTAAAATTTTACAAATTATGTTTTTTTGTCATCTTATTACCTTTAAAATAATTATTTTGCAAAAACAGTAGGATGTTAAAATCTGATCAAAATATGAAAAGGTTGTGTTAACTATACCGGACGCAAATTTACCTTTAACTGTATTCATGTCCTTTTTCATAAAGAAAAAAATTACTACAGTTTTTATCGCATATCAATAGCTTTCGCAAAATAAAACTCTCATGTACATTTTGTCCGTTAAAGATTTATAGATTAAAAAATGCTTCGAAACGGGTTTGACAGTTTAGGAAATTGGTTCACTTCTGTACTGCTGTATGTATTGCCTTATATGTTATACGACTATATATATTTTTACTGGAGGATACAAGTAAAAATCCTTTACTTTAATCTTAAAATTGCCAATACATATTTTAAACATCACATACTGTGATTTTTATTATATTTTCGTTTCATACTGTTTGTTGCTCTTTGGTTTTGGTAAATGAAGAAAAAAGAGGAGAATAGGGACAATAATGGAATGTCAAACTTGAAACATTTATAGGTTACTTACTACCACAAATATACTCTTTCTTACACATACACATACATACATAGCAATACAATCTATAAGTATGAAAATCGATTTTTGTTGATAAAAAATTCCTTGCATTTTTGTGTGTGCAAAAGAAAGTCTTTGTCTTGTTATTCTTGATGAAATTGAAAACTGAACAACAACAGTATAGTAGTAAAAAAACTGGCCAATAAAATATTGTTTTTAACGATTTCTGTTTCATGTTGTTAAGGAAATAAAGATTAAAGCTAATTTTGTTTTTATATAAGAAAAGTCTTATTTTTTTGTTGTTGTTTGAGCTATGGAGTTGAGTAACAGGAAATATTGTGAAAATTGTTGTAAATGAACCAGAGAAATTTATGTCATGGGTTGGTTAAACACACATGTGGCCATTTTCAAAATAAATTGGTTACAAAGAAAAACTCCTGTAAACAGACACATAAACAACAAGTTGTTATGTAATATACATACATATACTTTATTGTTGTCCTGTTTGCTTTTATTTTAGGGGAAAGGGATATATAATCCCTTTAAGTCATGTGTTGTTACAACGTCAATAGGCTGGTAAAATAGTAATCTAATGACCAAAGGCGTTCTGGCAAAAAGTTACGTTTTTGTGGTTTTTAGAGTATAAAAGTATTAGATATTCTTCAAGGGTTTCATTTGAAGCACTGCTGGCGGTATAATAAATGTCATATAAAGCTTTTAATTGAATTGAAAGAATATACACAATTTGGAAATAAGAATTTATTTTTCTAATGTACACTTGACAGAAATCAAACGATTTATTCAGTTACAGTAACCAACTTTTTTAGTTCTATTTACTAATATTTAAATTAGAACCATTACTTTTCTTATTAATTTAATTGGGTGTACAAAATGCATAATTATTTAAATACCTTAGAGGAAATTCGGCATTATAATGCATTATGTCATGGTTAAAAAACATTGTTAAATTTAAAAAAAAAATTAAAAAATTTAGCTTTTTATTTTAACAAAAATGTTTCTCGCTTTAAAAAAAAACCATATCAACCGCACGCTATGTATGGCTGTAAGTCACTGATTATCTGGCGCTAAACAAATAAAATTATTTTTAAAATCTTTCCAAAATAAACAATGGTTCTTATCTCGATTGGCCATGAGTAGTCAATGCTAATCAATGCATGTTTTATTTATGAATATTTATAGTTTGTTTTACTACTATAAACTAAAACTATGTGCTAAAAATAAGAATTAGAGATTAACAAATTAAGAGATTATTATGTTTTAATTATATATTAGATTAGGCTATCGTTTATAATCTTTTATTATATGCTAAGTATGGCATAATTTGTGTGACATTCTATTTGCAACATTTCACGATTTAGGAAGATTAAGATTTTAAAAAGTCTGAAAGTTATATTTAGTAGACCTTAGCCAGTAGACCGATTTTAAAATAATGATTAATTTGTTAAATTTTAATTTATTAAAACTTCCAGCCGAACAATTAATTGTTAGTTTTAGCATGCACTCGCAGATAGTAGTTATTCTTTTAATGAAAATTTATGTTTGTCAATGTATTTTGAAATATGACTTAAAAACTATTCAGATAATATCTATCTGTTTACACCATCCACATAAAACTATACCAATCGGCTCAGTATCACCTTCTAAATCGATTAAGCAATGTCCGTCAGTCTTGAAATCGGTGAACTAGAACTAGATTATCTATCCAGGACTTTAAGGGAAACCTACTATGCTTCATGTAGGGAGCGGCAGGTACCTAGGAAATTCTGGCAACCATGGTGGAATCCTAAACTAATACAGCTAAGGAAAGAATGAAGGAAACTATTTGATAAAGCGAAGAGGGATCAAAACCCATTAAGCTTCAATACTTTCAAGAGGGAAACCAGACGAGCTAAGAAGGAATCTTGGAAGCGTTTCTGTGAGGAGCTGGAGAGTATCATGGAGCCATCACGTCTACGTAAGGTGCTAAGGATTCCTGATGAAACCGGTTGGTAACTTTACTAAAAGTAGCACCGAAACTCTGGAACTACTTATGGAGACACACTTTCCGGATTGCAGAGATGATGAAAATTAAGGCTCCACTTTGGAGCACCTCGCAGCTTAAGTAAATTAGTCAGTTCCATTGTTAGTATGGGGAAAATTTCATGGGCGGTGTCATCCTTCAAGCCCTATAAATCTCCAGAGCCAGATGGCATATTCCTAGCACTACTCCAGAAATCGATCACCACCATCA